TTCTTGCCTTGAATGGTTGTCTCTTCCCACCTCCCACAGAGGTATGAGTTAGGCTCGGAGCTGGCACCGGCTTGGGTACCCGTGCAGAGCCCTCGGTAAGCCAAGGGTGGTATCTCTTGCTCTTCCCAAGCCTTCCTTTCCCCGTTAGGCTGGATGGTCTGGGTTGCCATTGCCGTTGGGTTGCTCCTGCCGGGGTTGCCTGCGGGGGAGGTGGGTGGCTGGGCTGTGCTGAAGTTCTGTATCCTCTTGAGTTCGGGTGCTGAGTAACATAACTGCGAGTCCTCCCTTCGTGTTCACAGTCAAGGTGAGCGACGTAGGAGAAAGAGGAGATCCTGTGTACTGGCAGGGCTGCCCTGGGGCCTTTGGGTGTTTTATGCCACACAGTTGTGCTGGCAGACAAAGTAATGCAGTGTCCCCATAGGCAGAAGGGCTGTCCAGCGCTGCACGAGCTTTGGGACACGACACGGTCTCAGCTGGGCACTGGGGGAGGTGGGGACGCTGGACAGCAGGTTTGTCCGATGCTCCTTTATTGCTTAGTTTTAGATACAACAAATGCCCTCTTGGAAGAGCAAGGTTTTCCTTGCCTTGAGCGAGGGCAGGCAGTTTGACGCAGAGACGCCTGTGCTCTTGTGGGGTTAGGGGCTCGTGGCCCAGGAGTGGCTAGCTGCTGCTGCTTGCCAAGGCCTGCGCCCTTCCTCTCTCTTGAGGTGTGTTGGCACTGCTGCTATCTGCTGCTCACTGGTGGGTTTTACTCTTCTCTGAGTTGATACCAGGTTTTACTGGACGCCTCCAGAAAGACCGGAACTTTTCAGTGAGTAAAACCCCTGTAAGGCCAGACAGCACGTCTGGTGTAGGTCGTTTGGCTCCAGGGTACTTTTATTCCATGGTTTGGAAGGAGGTTCAGCCAAGCTTTACCGCTTCTTTTATCCTCACAGAGAGTGCTGTGAACAGTACCTGTGTGTTCTGTGTTTTGGCTGATAACGTTGGGGGCAAACCTTCCCCTGAGCTCTCTGGCTCTTCCTAGTCTACATGTGCTGCCCGGAGAGGGGGAAGTCTTACGTACATCCCTCGGGTAACATGCCCAATACCCGAGCTGCAGGAGGAGTGGAACTGCTTCACGGGGGTGCTTCAGCTGCGGTGAGATCAGGTTGGGATTTGCCTCGATATCTGTAAAATCTAACCCAGTAGCTTCTTGATTGCACAGCATTTGGTGAACCCCAGCCCGTGCAGAGAGACCGATGTTCTCAGCCAGTGCCCCCAGCAGGGCTGGGAGGTCCAGCATACTGGGCTGAGCTGATTGGGGTCTGGGCAGTTGTGCTGCCTCTGGTGAGAACACGCCGCTCAAATGCCTGCCTGGCTGCGGCCGTGCAGAGCCCGACCCTTTCCAGGCCGAGCGCACCTTGTCCCAGACCCTTTGCACAGCAGCAAGGGGTGGGGTCTCTGGTTCTGGTTAGCTCCCCCACTCTGGCTTCCTGGTAGCTTTGCAGGGAGGCACAAGAGTTTTCAAAGTGAGCCGTGGGGGGAGGTTGACTAGAGTTGCCCATCTTTCCTCTGAGACCTGACATGAGCTGTCTTCTTCCTTGCAGAGAAAGCTGCTCCTTGGGCTGCTTCCCTCGCCCTTCCCAAATGTGAGCCCATCGCCATCAGCACAGAGAAGGGCATCCTCTTGTCTTCAAGGCACTTGATTCTCCTCTTTTTTTGTCCAAAAAAGAAAAAAGCCAAACCAAATCAGTCCACCAAGAACTTGCGCTGATCTAAGGAGGAAGCTGTGGTGTCTCAGTCACCCCTTTGCTTCCCAAGATCCTGGCTGCGGGCTGGATTTTCTGTCCTTGACTTCAGGGGATCAGCTAGGGGGAATCAGGATCTTGGATACTTTTGATTTTTGTTTTTACTTGAACCCTTTCAACCAAGAAGCTGAAGCTGTCACTGCTAAAATCCCATTTTGTTTTCCCAAGCATGTCAGAAAGCTGGCAGCAGCAACAGCAGCAACCACAGCAGCCGCCGCCGCAGCAGCAGCACCACGCTGGGGCAGCCGCCCTGCCAGAGCACTCCATCCCACCCAGCACTGCTGACAACCCCTTGGGCTGTGCTGTCTACGGCATCCTGCTCCAGCCGGACCCTGGCCTGCAGCACCACCAGCACGCCCCCATCCAGGCTGGAGAGCCGTCACACAAATGCGGTGTGTGTGGCCACGACCTAGCTCACCTCTCCAACCCCCATGAGCACCAGTGCTTGCCAGGCCATGACCGCTCTTTCCAGTGTACCCAGTGCCTGAAGATCTTCCACCAGGCCACTGACCTCCTTGAACACCAGTGTATCCAGGTGGAACAGAAGCCCTTTGTGTGTGGCGTCTGCAAGATGGGCTTCTCCCTCCTGACCTCGCTGGCGCAGCATCACAATGTCCACAACGGCAATGCCATGAAGTGCTCTATCTGTGAGAAAACCTACAAGCCTCCTGAGGCAGAGCATGTGCAGCCTCTCGACCCCTCGGAGAAGCCCTACAGCTGCTCCATCTGTCAGAAAACCTTCAAGCACCTCTCGGAGCTGTCCCGGCATGAGCGCATCCACACAGGTGAGAAGCCGTACAAGTGCACACTGTGCGACAAGAGCTTCAGCCAGTCGTCCCACCTGGTGCACCACAAACGGACGCACAGCTCGGAGCGGCCCTACAAGTGCACAGTGTGCGAGAAGACCTTCAAACACCGCTCCCACCTGGTGCGCCACATGTACGCACACTCGGGGGAACACCTCTTCAAGTGCAACATCTGCGAGCTGCACTTCAAGGAGTCCTCGGAGCTGCTGCAGCACCCCTGCACGCCCAGCGGGGAGCGGCCCTTCCGCTGCGGCGAGTGCCAGAAGGCCTTCAAGCGCCCCTCGGACCTGCGGCAGCATGAACGCACGCACAGTGAGGAGCGGCCCTTCAAGTGCGACCTCTGCCAGATGAGTTTCAAGCAGCAGTATGCGCTCATGCGCCATCGCCGCACGCACAAGGCTGAGGAGCCCTTCAAGTGCAACCTGTGCGAGAAGGGCTTCGTGCAGCCCTCACACTTGGTGTACCACCAGCACGTGCACGGCATAGAAAACCTCTTTAAGTGCAACGTGTGCCAGAAAGGCTTCAACCAGTCCTCAGAGCTGCTGCGGCACAAGTGTGTACAGAACGCGGAGCGGCCCTTCAAGTGCGCGGTGTGCAACAAGTCCTACAAGCGGGCCTCGGCTCTGCAGAAGCACCAGCTGGCCCACTGTGCCGAGAAGCCGCTCAAGTGCACACTCTGTGAGAGACGTTTCTTTTCCTCCTCCGAGTTTGTGCAGCACCGCTGTGACCCGGCCCGTGAGAAGCCCCTCAAGTGCCCCGACTGTGAAAAGCGGTTCAAGTATGCCTCGGACCTGCAGCGCCACCGGCGCGTGCACACGGGCGAGAAGCCCTACAAGTGCCCCTCCTGCGAGAAGGCCTTCAAGCAGCGTGAGCACCTCAACAAGCACCACAGCGTGCATGCCCGGGAGCAGCAGTACAAGTGCATGTGGTGCGGGGAACGGTTCCTGGACCTGGGCCTGCTGCAGGAGCACAGCGTCCAGCACACGGCCGAGGGCGCCTACCAGGTGGCTGCCTGCTTGCCATGAGCCTCCTGCCTCTTGGCGGCTTTCAGCTTGCATGTAACGCTCCTGAGCCTTGGCCTCCCCTTCCCTCTCCTGGGGAGTTTAGGGGAAAGAGGAGGTACGGTGGGCAGGCAGGTAAACTTTCCTCTGGCCTCTGGTTGATACACCACCAGTATCACTTGGGCAACGGACGACAGGAAAAGCTTGAAGGGGTTAGAAAGGAAAGGAGGGCGGTGGGGAGAGGAAACAATGCCTGTAGCTGCCTGGCATCCCTGGGACTGTAGTTCACGCTGTACCTGCAGTTCCAGTGCTGGGAGCTCAGCTACCCGCTGCAGGCACCAGCTCTTGGCGTGTCACCTCTTTCCCCTGCGCTACCTGGTGGGGTCGAAAGGGAAGGCTGGGCAACTCTCCTTCTGGAGAGGGCTGGGGAGCAAGGCAGAGCCAGCCCTCCCTTCTCCTGGGGTGCGCTGCTCAGTGAGAAAGTAGCAGGTTTCCACTGCTGGCATCTCCCAACTTTCTTGGTCCAAGCTCAGTTGAGAGGACCATTTCAGCTCGTTGGCGTTGATTGACTGCCTCGACCTCCCCTGCTCTCCCTCTTTCTGGAGTGTAGAAAGGGAAAAGCCATGGGGCCACACAGCTCCAAAAAGCACTTTGGCATTGCTGCTTTTGCAGTTGCTGGCTGTCACACTCTGCAAGGGTTCCGAGTGAGCCTGCCCACCCCCCCTCCCTGCCAGCAGCACGGGGAAGAGGAGCACGCACCGTGCCGCTACCGGAGAGCGTGGCGAGGAGAGCCTCCATGCCCCTGCTCCTGTCTGAGAGCTTAGCGTTTAAGAGCTGCTTCCCAAGGGACCTAGCTCTCCTGCCAAGACGCACCTCCAAGGCCCTTCCCTCTTTGCACCACTTGGGCCATTAGCGTATCTCTGGGGGCATCGGGCAAAGGGCCATCCCAGCAGTTCCAACACTAAAGGGTGAGGCAAACACTACTAATAACCTACAACTTTGGAGACATTACCATCGCTGACGGTAACCCGCCCCTGTCCCAGGGGTTTGGTGTCTGATTTGCTGGGGGAAACCAGAGCAAGCCAGGAGAATCCTTCCTGGCCTGCAGGCTCAGCTCCATGGGGAGGGGAAGGTTAGCAGCAGGTAAAGGAGGAGTGTATTTTTTTTTTCCCCTTCTTGCAGGAGTCCTGTTTTACCCCTTTACCCTTTCTTTACCTCCTCTGTATTTTTCAGGTTTTGCACAGTTCTTGTAAACGTCACTTAAAAATTAATTTCCCCTAGCAAGGTCAATGCAGCCTCAGGTGTTTTCCTCTGCAGGATTTTGCAGGTCTCTTGTGACCGAGAGACCCATTACAGGCCAGTTAAATGCCTTGGAGTTTGAAGGCATGCTTACTAGGTTGCCCACCAGCCTTCCCTTCTCTGTCTTTGGAGATGTTTAGAAGTTAAACATCTATCTGTGGAGATACTCAAGCCCTTACAGGATGCGGTCCTGGACAACCTGCTGTAGCTGACCCTGCTCGATCAGGGGGTTGGACTAGATGATCTCCAGAGGTCCCTGCTGGCCTCAGCTCTTCTGTGATCTTGGCTGGCCCTCGTATGAGGTAGAGTGTTGTGACGAGCTGTAATTTGTGAAGAGCAGCTGGGAAGTTGCCCATGTGCTGCACAGGTGATTGGGATGAGTTTAATAAATTGTTGTCCACGGCAAGGATAGAGAGATTAACCTTGCAGAGAGTTGGGCTGCACGTGCTCTGCTGGTAGGGGATGCTCATCTGAAAGGTGGAGAAAGGCTTTTGTTTTCATTTCTAGCACGCGGAGGGGGAATGGGGTGTGTTTTGGGGGGCTGGGACAGGCAGTGATGGGTCTGACCCTGGGGCCGAGTCTTCTTCATGTGCAGCTTTGAGGTGAAAACAGACCTTGCTCTCTGCTGCCCGAGGAAGAGGGACTGATAGTTATCTTACTTATGCTGCCTCAAGGATGTGGAACTTCCTACTGAGTTTTCTGTCTGTGTTTCTTTTTCCCTTTTTTCTTTTTTTTTTTTTTTAAAGCAGTTAATATTCATTAAAAAATACTGTATAGTTTAACTTGATGTCATACTGGATCTTTAAAAAAAAAAGGTGTGATAACTTGGATTTTTGGAGAGCTCTTTGGTTCTAGGTAGGTGGTTTTTGCTGTTTAATATGTAATACATTCAGTGTATGCTTTACTGTAGGAGTAAAACTGAGGAGTAAAACCAAGGAAGGCTAATCCTGTCTTTACAGAAGGACTTGGTGGTGAGGGAGGCTGTGAGCGTGGGACTGGGGCCAGCCAGGGAGCGTGGCACCCCTCTGAACCCTCACTCTGTTCCTGCTGTGGGCCGTGGTTAGCTCTGATCTTGCCCCAGTCAGCCCAGGGCAGCTGCTGCGGGTCCCACAGAGCCAGAACTTCAGCAGTTGCCCTGACCACTTGAGCACAGCACCGGCAGCCAGGATCAGTGCCCAAATCTGGGAGCTTGCAGAGAGGCTTGTCTTTCGTAAGAGGAGGGCATGAAATGGAGGCTGCTGGAGCCTCGAGCGGGGCTTTTGTGGCTGTATTCCTTTCTGGGGCAGCTGCTGGCTAAAGGAGGGATTTGGGGAAATCATTAGTGTGGGCCCTACTCTCTTCCCTCCCCGGGGGCCCAGGTGGCTGAACAGCCCGGGATGCTTGGGGCAGAGGAGGATGGCAGTGGGCCCCGACCGCAACTCTGTACCACGCGCTGGCCATGGAGCTGCCGGATCCTGTCCCCTTGGTACCAGCTGGGCACGGGCTGCTGGGGAGCATTTTCCCTGTGCTGAGCAGCTGGGAAAGCCCTCGGTGTCCCAGCAAAGAGCTCGAGCTCTGCTTAGGACATGGCAACAGCCAAGCAGTGCCTTGAGCAGAGGAAGCATCATCAGCGCTTTGTGCTCGGGGGCACATGCTGGGGCGAGAGGGATGCTGTGGGGGGGCTCAGCAGGGTCCAGGTCATCAGCCAGTGCTTGTGAGTAGGTGCCTCCAGTTTCAAAAGTGTCTTGATGTATCATTAGAGCATCGTTAAGTAGGGCTGGCTGCAGGCTGTGGTGACTCGGTCTCTTCATCTTGTTTGCTGCTCTGCAACAGCCCAAATCCAGTAGAAACCTGTGGTGGCTTCTGCTGCCACACCTCTGTGCTGGCAGGGGGAGGACCTGCGCAGAGCTGGCGGCTGAGTGTCCACTGAGAGCCTCCGGTATGTTTTTATGGGGAGATTGTCTAGTTGGAAGCAGCTGTGTTGCATACCTGGGGGAGCAGGTCCATCTCCATTGCTGTGCCTTTGGGTCACGTTTTGTACTGTGAGGTGATGGAAATAGCAGGAGGCCCGTGAGAGTCAGGAGCGTGGTGCTGGATGGGGAGGCAGGGGCTGTCCTGGGGGGCCGATGGATGTCCTCTGGCCATTATGCTGTGAAGCGCTCTCTGCTGACTGCTGGGGTTTGCAAACCAAAGAGCAGTTGTGGCCAAAGCCTCTTGGGAGTAAAACGTATTTCTACTCTGTCCCTGTGCTGCACTTCCCTTCTGACATTCATTTCAAGAGACTTTCGGGCTTCTTCATGTTGCCTCTGCTTGGCCCCTCGTGTCACTCACCGCCCTCCCTGCAGCACCCAAGAAGGTCACCGTGCTGGATCTGATGTTGTGTCAGCCCCTGTGGCAAGTGCTCACGCGTGTTCTTACGACCTGGTTGCCAGACCACCTGAGGTTGAGCTGTAGGGCTGGAGAAGGGGATGATCCCTCCCCAGGGGCTGTTCTCTTCGGTGGGCAGCTTGAGCATTGGATGTTGCTGGGGAGGTGGTGGGGAGGGTTGGGCTGCCCGGAGGCAGTGTGGATGTTGTCTGGGGGATTAATCTTGCTCTCTAGGGCTAGCCCCTCCACGGCTCTTTTCCTTATACTTTTATAAGACCTTTTAGGCTTCTTTGCCCTTTGTTCAATTCTTTATTTGTAAGCAGTGGTTTGGTTTTCATCCCTTTTTCCATTTTGATTGAGGGGTCTCTTCCCCCTCTCCTCCCTGCCCCCACCTCCCAATTCCTCTCCCAGGCTGGATCCAGGTGGTACCAAACCACTGATGATGAGGTCAGGTGTTTGGCACCTGAATCTTGCTGGAATCCAGCAGGTGCCTCTGGTCCTTCCCCCCATGAGGCTGCCCATCTCGCTGGGCACGGGCGATACCTGTGGCCTGGCAGCTTGGCCTGGCCAGGTTGTGCCCGTGGTACAGCTGGCTCTGGCGAGGGAGTCTGAGCCAGGACCAGGAGCTGTAGGAAACAGGCACTGGGGTGAGAGCGGCCATTTCCGTGGTGGGTTCCTTTGCCACATCTCCAAGGCTGGGGGTTAAATCAGTGAAGGGCTGGCAGACGTTCCTGGGAGAAGTCATGGTGCTGGGGTGGGGTTGGACCGCTCAGCTCCCTGGGAATGTCTGTGGAGCGGCTCTGTGCATCAGGCAGGTGGCTGAGCTGAGCCAGCCGTGGCTTTGACACCCCTGCGACTGCGCGTATGCCCGGGTGGCTCTGCCAGCTCTCCAGGGAGCAGGTGCCATCCCTGTGAGCTAGGTGGGAAGACGTCTTGGGGCCCACATGCTGGAGTGGGCGGCGAGGGGAAAAGCATCCTCGGACAGTGGTTTGGGACCATCTCTGGGTGCTCAAGCCTGGCCTTGCACTGTTTGGAGGGAGGAGAGCGCTTTTTCCCCTTCCCTTGGGTATTTACCATCAAGTCCAGGCTGCAGCCAGAGCCTGGCTATTAATAATAAGCAAAAAAAAAACCCAAAAAACCAAAACCCTTGTTGTTCTTCAGAGTTTGACTCTTCCTCTGCTGGGTGGTGAGTTCACATGTGGGAAGGTATCTGCACACGCCGGCGTAATGCTGAGATGCAATAATGGCAGGCCGGCAAGGTTTGGGGACAGAGGCTCTTCCCCAGGCCCTGGTGAGCCCGGCTTGTCCCCAGCTGCCAGGCTGCCTCTGCAGCATCTCCCAGCAGCCTCCTCCACCACTTTCTGGATGTGAAAATGCCGCTCTCGCAATGTGCCTGGGATGCTCATCAGGGAGGGAGCTGAACCATGGGCTTGTCTCTGAATGCCTCCGAGCTGTCGGTCCGAGGGATTTCATGGCCGGTGAGGTTCTTGGGCTCCTCCTAACCTGTGCTCCTGCCTCTGGCAGAGTTCCCAGGGCCGTGGGGAATTGCGGCCAAGGATGATGAGGTTTGTGTGGCTTGCAGTGCCTTTAACACTGCTCTCCGTGTGTTTCTAAGATGATACTCCATGTATGTGTGTATATATATTGTATTAACACATCCCGCTCTTCTGTGTGAGTGTCAAATGGTTTTGCTTTACTAATAAATTTATAGTTATTTATACCTTCCTGTGAGTGTGTAAGATTTCTGGAGCAGGGGCCGTGCACCATGCACCACTTCCTCTGTCTGTCTTTGTGCTCTGTCTGGGTCTGCTTGATTTTTTTTTTTTTTTTTTTTTCCCCCTCATGTTTTCTTTCTTTCCCCTGAACTGTTTTTTGATGGAGAAATGATGGTTCATCTGCCTGGTAACCAAAAGTCGAGACATAGGGGTACGGGCAGACTTCCAGGGGCCAAAAGCAAATGCAAGCAGAGTCTGCAGTGTGGTTTTCCCCCTTGCTAGAGGGGTCCACTCCTTCCCCGGAGCACAGCTTGCTGCCGGGAAGGAGGCAGAAGCTTATGCATGTTGTGCTTCGAGGAGCTGAGCCCCACACTCGACTGTTTCAGCTTTCCCAGAGGGTTTTGTTTTTTTTGGAAATCCCCCTATCCTGTGATGGGAAGGGAGGAGCCTGCTACCTGCAGACAACCTGACTTGCTCCATCCCACACCCAGGCCAGGTGAGATGTGTGTTTGTCTCCAGACCACTGAGAAAACACTTGGGGCTAAAGGTTTGGGAAGGGGATGGGATGCGAAAATGGGAAACTGAAGTAAGAGTGGGAACAGTGCTCACCCAGGATCCTGTGGTGGGGAGATGTCTCAGCATCCGTCCTTGGCTGGCTGCTCCAGTCAGGGCTCCTTGAATGACAGCAGAGAGATACTCGCAAGGAGGAGAAGCGATGGCCACGTCTTGGGGAAGAGGCAGGTCCCCCTTCCCGTTTGCTGACGCTGATACTGGGTCACCGCTCCCCCCCTGGTGGCTGTGCTGAGCCCTGTGAGGGCGTTAGTGCCACCGAGCAGGATCGTGCCCGGTGGCAGAAGGGCAATACCTTTCCCAGCTGCCCTAAGTTCTTATTCCTGGCTGGATGATTTCCATGGGAAGATGAAAAGTTTAACTGCAGTTAAACTAAGCTGTGCCCGTGTTTGAACTTTGTGGTTTGAGGAAATACCCTGAATCCTCAGGGCAGGCAAGCAGACTGCATCTGTGCCACCAGTTGCACGGGCTTTTACTTTCTTGTCTTTGATTTTCCTTAAATCACAGCAAAGCTATGTAATTTTTGCATGTGCTGGAGCCCCAGGCTCTGGCTGGGGGAGGACCAGGAGCGGCTGGTGGGAGCAGCATCTTCTCAGCACCTTATTAAGAGCCCCTGAAGGTCTGGTTGCTTTTCCAGAAGGCCTTACCTACTCGGTAGCTATTTTCCATGCAGGTATCATCACCAATCCCTCCTGCCTTACCCCACGAATGTAAATGCCAGGGATCCAAATGAAAAGTCATCGGAAGTGGATGGAAAGTGGTTCTCCAGCGAATGTGCCAGGTGTGCTGGCAGCATCGCTCAGGTGAGGAGCAGAACCTTCCCCTTCCTCCTTGGGGTTTCCCCTGGGCATTTGCTTGCAGAAATAAGTTGAAGACCTTTGTACGCGGGTCTGGCTGGAAGGCAAAGTGTCTCCAGATTGTCCTTGGAGGAGATGCAGGTTTAGCCATCAGCACATGCTCCTTTTTTTGAATGCCGTGCTGCAGGATTTCACCAGCCTGAGCCTGCAAAAGTCCACCTGAAACTGTCCCTGCGTTGCTTTGCTCTTTCAGGCACCCTTGTCTTCTCAGGTGGGACCTGGGCAGCCTCCTGCAAGGTGGGATCTGGGCCAGGCTGTGCCCCAGGATGGGTGCAGGATTTGGGCCTGTGCTGCTTCCACTGCTGATGTTGCTGTGGGGTCGGCAAGTCCATTTAACACCATGCCTGTCCAGGAGCCATTGTTGCTCCTCAGGAGCCTGCACATGAGGCTGTTGGGCCCACCACAGCTTGCTCCCTTAGCAGGGGTGGATTTTCCTGGGGATCCAGGGTTCTCACGGCATTATGCAGCTGCCCTCATGCCCTGCGTTCAGACCCGAGGCTTCCCCTGCTACCCCCAGCCCTGGTGCAGGGGTCAGCATCCATCCCATCCAGTGTGCCCCCCAGCGTGGAGGTGTGCATTTGGGGCGGCTGAAGTTGCCAACAGATGAAACTGATTTTTTTTTTTTTTTTTTTTTTTTTTTTGGGGCGGGGGGGGGAACCATTTGTTATGGTTGGGGGGGGTTTTTTTTTTTTTTTTTTTTGTTGGGTGCTGGAGCATCTCCTGCCCCAGCACTCAGCACCCCCAGCCCCTGCAGCCTGGTGAAGGAGGCAACATCCCACATCCAGGCTCATCCCGCTTCCCAGGGCAGGCTGGACCAGAGGAGAAGCAGCAGTGGCTTGTCCACTCCGTGTGATGGCACATGTGTACAGGGCTTCGGCACCTTCAGGGGTGCAGCTTGCCTTGCTTGTCCCTTGGCACCACCAGTCAGGGCTGCCTGGCCTGGGATGAGAGCCCTGAGCTCCACTCCTGGCCACTGTGGAGGGTTTGCTGCTGAGTCGTGCTGGGGCAGGGACAGCTCTGCTGGCCGGAGTCATGGGGAGCAAAGTGAGACGAGCTGAGGCTGGGTAATGGCTTTTGTAGCCATGAGGCCTGGGAGAGTGTGTCAAGCACCTTTGATTCATGTTTCTGCCATTAAAATTGGCGTCTAATGCTGAGGTCTACGCAGTCATCACTCTGCTTCAGAGTGAACAGTATCTCAGAAATACAAGGATGCCTTTGGGTCAGCTTTCCCAGGCCCAGTGAGCGGGGAACAGGATGCATTTGGGAGACAGTGGCTCTGTGCCTCAGTTTCCCTGGCTGCGAACCAAAGTTGTGGAGGCACTGTGCTGGGGCCAGGCAGGATGGGTACCTGTTGCTCACCAGGCTGGGGACACCTGCGGGGCTGGGGAAGGAAGAATGAGGCATGTGGTCTCCAGCACTGCTCTGGGGAGCTCTGACTGAAAACAGAAGCTGGGGCTGGATGTCATGCAGTGAAGCTGTGCCGGTACCAGGATTGCAGGGTGTGACCACAGCTGAGATTAGGGCCAGTGGGAAAGGCTGGCAGTCACGCAGGGCCAGAGGTAAACGGATCAAGCAGCAATTGGCAGGCTCAGCAAGGGGAGGCTTAGCTCAGCCCGGCACAGATTTGCTGCCTCCTGCCCCAGATCCTCTGGGGTCGGGGTAGAGCCACAGGTGGAGCATCCTCGGGCACAGCACCCTCGGCACATCACCCTTGCATTGCCCCACGGGGTCTCAGCAGCCACATTGCTGCTCGTCTGCGCATCCCTGTGCCACTCCTGCGCCTGAGCGAGACGACAGCCTTCCCCACAGCGCTGCTGGGCTCGTGCCTGGCTGGTGATTGCCTGGGGTAGCTTTGGTGCCTCCAGGGATCTTGAGGATGCTCAAATCTGCTTGATTTGAGGTTTTTCTTTGTGGTATCCTGCACCAAAACCGGGCTGGCTGCTGGGAGCCAGGGCATTCAGGACAGCTGGGTGCTGATAATCCCATTTGCAGGCAGCGCTGGGCTAATCCTTGCAGAGCCCTGAGCGGATTGGGGTGAGTTTGGGGAGTCAGTGGTGAGCTGCGGTGGCTGAGGGAGCCTGCGCATCCCAGGGGTGGCTTCCCAGGGAGGCTGGGGTGAGTGTGTGTGGGGGTAAGTGGCGTCGATGGAGGTGAGGGGATGTGACTGGGGTTTCTGTAGGGCCACCTCCACACATGGTGGTGGGGTTTGATGCTCTGAAACAGAGCTGGAGGATGAGCCGCGGTGGGGGCGCGGGTCCGTAGCAGGGGAGCAACGGGGCAGGTCCCCAGGGAGTGATGCTGCAAGGGTGATGGAGCTGGGTGCCGTAGAGGGGTTTTATCTGATGCTGGAGGGGAGGGAAAGGCCGTGGTGCTCCCTGCTCTGAATGGGGGTGGCATGTCTGCACCCTGCCTCTTGCTCTCAGAGACCGGGGCCCTTCGCCCGCTGGCGCGAGCCCTGCGGAGCTACCACAACGGGCAGTGGCACCAGCTGATGCCTGCAACACAGGGGGATTGCAATGGGTGCCATTGCAGGCAAATTCTGGCTGCTTACTCCTCTTTCCTCCAGCAAGTAGTTTTCTGGGGACCCACAAATGTTTCTGCCCCTCTCATGTTCAGATGTGCTGAAGGAATGGCCCCAGCCCTCCGCTTTCCTTCCCGGGCCAAGGACAGGCTTAAGCTGCAGGCTTTTACAGATTCACAAGCTTATGTCAAGGGAGGAGGAGACCTCCACTGTTGTGGGGGGCTCGCTCCAGCCTTGGGGGGCTTTCTCTGAGCTTGTTTGGGCCCAGCGGTGTACGTTGCTCCTGGGCTTCTTTGAGACCTCTGAAGGTCTTGAAGCATGGGTGGAAATGTCACTGTGCCCAAGTTTTCCTTGCTGTTCCTGGGCCATTCACAGCACCTTAACCCCTTACACCCTGTGGGAGGTAAAAGGCAATTTCTTTACCTCCCTGTGGGAGGTAAAAGGCAATTTCTTAACTGGTTTCTGGTCATCAGGCCTCCTGTGAGGTGTTTCACAGCCACCCTGTCCCGCTTTGGGGACGTGAGGGTCTCCAGGAGACTTGAGCCTGTCTGTGGTGTGCCAGGGGTGGAGGTGCCGCGTGGGGCGATGCTTCAGCCACATCCAAATCCGGCTCCTGGGCTTGCACAAGGAGCAGGGCGAGCAAAGAGCTGAGGATGCACGTCACCTGACCTGGGAACCTCGGCTGGGTGAGATTTAAGATGCCAGGTTTTGGGCAAAAGCCCGGCACTGAGCAGCTTCCAGCCTATGACCTGCTGCTATATGGGACTGGGGCCATGTGTTAACCCGGGATCCAAACTCCCGTGCAGTCTCCTGGCTGGGCTGGATGGAGCTCAGGGACCTGCTTTCTCTTGCTCTTCACGGGTGTCTCCTGCAAGCAGCAATGTGAGGGTGGCCAAGATGCTCCTGAGGCCCTCCTTGAGCAGAATGGGGTGTCTTTGGAGGGGCGTTTTGGGCAGAGCAGGGCTCTTTGGAGGGGCAGCAGCAGAAGACATCCCCAGTTTGAGCTAGTTGAGAGCCCCCAGCCTTCCTCCTCTACCCAAGCATGGGAATGTGCAGCATTGCTCAGCTCGCTGGTGCTGCGTCCCAGCCCAGAGTCGCACTGAGAAGGGGTGGGGGGGACCCGAAAAGACTGAGCAAACAGAGCTTGAACAGCTGAATCCCTGCTCTGCAACATCTTATTTTTACCTACTCCATCAACATCTCAGCAGCCACAGCAAGTCAGTGCTGGCTGCCTTTGCTGCCCTGCCCAGGGCCCCAGGAAGGTGCCTGCCCCAGCGGCCACCATGGCCCTGGGCCGTGGCTGAAAAGGTGATGGTGCCGTTGTTTCCTAGGGGCAGAACGAGTTGATGTGTGTTGGGACGTGAACTTGCTCATAAACAAATTCTGTGCAAATTACTGTTGGTTTTTAGCCCTTAAAGGAAAAACGAGGGGGAGTGTAGAGGACCCTGAGCAGAGCATCATAGTTTCTGTCATCTATCTGCTATGTCATCTATCTCTTTGTGCAACCCTAGCCATGGAGGATTGTGCAAAAAAAACCCTAAACATTTAGAAAAGCAAGTTTAACTGAGGCTGTGAGCTTAAAATAGAGGGCGTAGTTTGCTCATGGTAACAGTGATGGGTCAAGGTTTGAGCTGGTTTTGGTCTGGCTGCGCTACAGTGCTGCGTTTCCCGAGCAGGACTTGGAAACGGAAGGACGCCAAGGACCTTTTTGGGCTGCCCTGGGGACAGCGTGAGCGGCTGGTGCACCAGATATTCCTCAGAGAGTGTGCACTGCTGCTGCTGGCCTCTGGCTGGCTGGAGAGCTCTCCTCGCTACCTGCAGGTGGAGGGATGCTGGGCTGGATCGAACGTGTGGTTCCCCAGCCCCCGGTGCCCCATCTGGCAGAGGAGACCCCCCTGGCCCCAGTGCGGGACCTGGAGCCAGCTAAGGTGAGCAGGGAGCCAGTTTGGGGGGTACCCTGTGAGCATGGTGGAGAGATGACCGGTATCTCTGCGTCCAGCCCTGGCACTGCCGCACCCGGGGGTGCTCCGTGGCATCCCCAGGACGGATGAAGGCCAGGAGGCATCCCCCCTCCAAGCTGCTGGGAGGCAGCAGGAAGGATGGGGATTCCCTGGGGTTTGCAGCCACCTTTGAACTGGGGACACTGTCCCCTGCACCTCGCTCTCTGACACCTTCTGCCTTTTACCCTGAAGGCACCGACGGGAAAGGCCGGTGGACCTGGGGATGCTGCTGACCGCGCACGCACCAAGGGTAAGTCCCCATAGTGGGGGGACGCACTGGCTCAGGCAGCAGATCAGTGTTCCTTTACCAGCTGGTCCCCCTCCTGCCCGGCATGTCGGGGGCTGGTGGAGCAGTGATGGGAGCTTGCGCTTTTTCCCCCCCCCGCCTGCTACCACTGAAGAAATGGAAAAGAAGGTGGGATTTGCCGTCCCCGAGGACTCAGGCTCTGTGTTTGAGAGGTATCGCACTTGCACCCTCCACCGTGCAACACGGTTTACTTGGGATTTTGCTTTTGCTTGGGGGCTGGATGACTGGGATGTGGGGTCCCAGCCTGACTCACCCTCTTCTCTGGCAGCGTGGGGAGCAGTGTGCTCTCCTGGCTCTCCCAAGGGCTGGAGAAAGTGATTCCCCAGCCAGTCCCAGCCCCAGGGACGCTGCAGGCACTTGGGAAGAGCTTTGAGACGAGCATTGATGTTCCTGATCAGGTAGGTGACAGATTTGGGCAACAGTCTGGTATTTTGGGGTTCTAGTTCTTTTTACCTTTTCTTTTTCTTTTCTATCCCTTCCTATCACTCTCCCAGTGATAACTGGGAGCAGTAAACCTGCCACTTGTGGACTTCTGCCTTCATCCATCCCTGGGGAAAGGGCAGGTTTCCCTCCCTGCCCAGTGGGATGAGGCCCCCTCTGCTGCCAGGTGGATGACGGTGTGTTTGCCTTTTCAGACAGAGGTTCAGATCCTCAGGGACGAGGAAGAGGATGCCCTGGGTAAGGAGAGCTGGGAGCCTTCCTGGGACTCCTGTATCCCACATCCTACCTCCCCGGTCAGTGATGCTGGCGCTATTGGCCCCTTGAGTTAGCTGATGGGGGGGACCAGGAGCTCCCAGCAGTGCAGGTCCCAGCTCTTCCCCATCCCCATGTCACTGCTCTCCTTGCAGAGATAACCCCTTTTGATCCCGAGGAGGACGATCTGGACAGCTGTGGGTCTGAGGCTGCCTTGGATACCAGGACAGAGGAGTGGTGGGTCCTTGGGGAGGCTGGCGGGGGGATGCAGGAGGGCAGGAAGGGTGCAGGATGAGCTCCCCGACGGTGCTCTCCCCACAGGGCAGGAGCGCGGGTACTTGGCTGGCTGGTGCAGGGCTTCGAGAGGATGGTGCCACAGCCAGAGATACTGAAAAAGCCGGAGGTGAGCACTGCCCGGCCAGGGGAGACTGGGGGGCTGCTGGGCAGAGGTGGCAATGGAGCGGGCTCCCTGTCCTCCTGCACACCCCAGCTGGGACCCTGGGGAGGAGAACCTCAGGGGAAATTCAACAGAGAGAAAGAAAGACCTCAGAGAGTCATCCTGGTGCTCCCTGACCTGCCCACACGCTGGGGGGACCCTCCATTTGTGACCTGCTTTTTCCACCAATGCCACTGGGGTCTGGGTTTAATAGTCCTTGTCAATGAAATGGAGCTGAAACCGCGGTGGAGGGCGTGTGGGGCTGCGTGTGGGTCCCCTTGGGGTGGGGGACATGCCTGCCCCAGGTGATGTGGCACCACAGACCATCCACCCATCCTTCTATCCCTCTGCAGCCAGAGCCAAAGGAGCTGAAGTGTGAAGCTGTGGCAGGAGGTGAGCGATCCCCCTTCCCTTGATGGCCCTTTCAGAGGGGCCACACTGCTTTCCAGAACCTGGGTGCAGGCAGGCCCTAGCGCTGGGGCTGCCCCCCTTCCCTGGGCCCCCAGGTACCGACTGCTGAGAGGGGTAGGCATGCCGGGTCCTGGCATCACGGCACTGCCCCTACACCACGCCTGTCCCCAAACCACCCTTGTCCTCATCCCAGGCTGGGTCCCTGGGGCAGAAGCTGCCAGGGAGGTGCCCCAAGCCTGTCCCTCTGTGGGAGGTGACCCTTCCTCACTTGCTTCCCTTTCCCAACAATTTATAAGCTCACCACTGCATTGCCTATCCCCCTTCTCCTTCGGGATAAACCTGAGCAGGCACAAAAGGGACTAAATCCAGGACAAAGACAAAAAGCAGCATTTCAGCTGCCCAGAGCATCCCGGGAGCAGTGGAGCCAGCAGTGGCTGAGGGGCAGCCGGAGCCAGTGGCCACCTTCATCCCTCAGTCCCTGGCTGGGGATGGCAGCAGGTAACTGCAGTGGCAACTTCTGCCTGGGTACCATGGCCAGAGGGATGGCCGCTGTGGGAGCAAAGGCTCTGGCAACTGAGTCTAACATTGATTTCTGGTCACCAGGATGTTTGCCTGGTTCGTCCAGGGGCTGGAGAAGGTGATGCCACAGCCGGTGACCAAGGAGAAGCAGGACACACAGGTATGCTCTCTGCTGGATAGGCAAAGGGTGTGTGAATGCCACAACCCCAGCAGGGAGGGCATCCCCACTATTGCAGATGCCACCTGATCAGTGCCGGGACCTGCTGTGGTTTGCACTGTCACCCAGCTCCTTCAAGAAAACAAATCCCTATGACCCACATAAGCTGATCAGGATTTGGCCTCTGAGCAGCGAGAGAGCCCATAGCATGTGTTTTCTTTGCCATTTCTGTGCAGCACCGGGTGGTGTCCAGGCCCTGGCATCTCACCCAGGCGTGGTCCAGCCCTAAGGAGAAGGAGCTTTACACGCTCTCCTTTCCTTCCCTTGCACCCAGGCAAGCTCACTGATGTGGTCCTGCCCTTTACCGCCATGCGTGGGGATGCTTGTGCCCACAGCCAAAGCCATCCGACACGCCCCTAGAGATCACAAGGGGTATTTAGGGTAAAAAGGCCACATTTACTGAAAAGGGGGCATTTGGGGTAAAAATTTAGGTTTACTAAAAATGGGCAACATCTCATGTTTCCCTTTTCTGTCTGGCAGGGAGTGGCAGCAGCAACCTCAAGTCCCGTGGAAGAAAGTAAGTGGTTGTTCCATCTCACTGTACTGGGTAGCTTGCCGAGGTCAGAAAGCGATTATTGGGAAGAGGGGTGGCTGGAGGCCTTTATCACCTGGTCTGCCATGGGTGCCAGCTGGGGAGCCCCTGAAATCCCCTGGGGAAGCCACAGGAGGCTGTTGCTGCTTGAGAAGCAGGAGCAGAGCTGGGGTTTTGGCACGGGCTTTGTAAAGCTCAGGCCGTTGGAGTTTCTCCGAGTGCAGCGTCCCACATCCTCGGGTGCCGGGTTTTGAGGTTCATGCTGATGTCACGGTCTGTCCTCGAGCTGTGCCGGAGGATGTTTGCCAAGCTGGTGGGATCTGATCAAAGGATTACAAGGGAATTCAAACCTGCCGCCTTCATCACCCCCCATTGGCACGTTTGCTGCCGAGCTGGAGGGTGTTTGCCAAGCCTAGTGTGAGATGTCTAGGGAGGTACCTCTGGAAAACAAGATCCTGGGATTAGATGTGTTAGACGTGAGTCT